TGAGATATTTATTATATGGAAATATAGTGGATTGAAAATTGATGATTAAATTTATAATTATATTATGTTATTGAATTCAGTGGTGGTAGATGTGATAAATTTGTAAGTCTTATAAATGAGCAAAATTTTATTTATTACTTAAAAATTGTAAATTTCAATGGGTTATGTTAGTATTTATTTAATTTTTTTTTGGGAGACATTTGTATATATGATGTTATTTTAGAGAATTTTTATATATTTTTACGTTAATTTTATTAATATAAAGGATATGATCATCGATATATTTGGAGTCATTTTAAAAAAAAAAATTTTAGTATAAATATTTTTATGTCATTTTTTTTTATATTTAGACAAATGTGTAATAATTTTTTGTTTGTTATATACTGTTTTCACGCACGACTAGTATATATATTATAATTATAATATGCCTTGTCTAGGGCTGGGCTTCCCAAATACTCCATCTTCATCGTCTGCCGCCGCTGTTACACTTCTGCTACAACCAAGCCAAAACAGACGCTCCTCTCCCTCTGTTCTAACAGTTTCACAGTTATTCGACCGATTAAAACCCGCTTTAGTACGGAACGTCTTCGATATCCTCTCTCAACTCCAGGTAACTCCAAAGCCCTAATTTTGTTCTCTTTCGTCTTCCACATCTTGTATATATATTTCGACTCCGATCAATATTCAAGACGAATATATGGAAGTCCTAACCTTTTCCTATTTTTATTGGCAATTCCAAGAGTTGGGAACATGTATTCCTCCCGTGGGAGTGATGCTTACGGGCAGCAACAGCCGTACTCGTCACAATCTGCTTATGTGCAGAGCGTAAGTGGTGCACTTATTTCCTTTGCTTTATTATTTCATTTCTTTTTATTGTTTTACGTTAAATTTGAAGTAGTGTTCCCAATTTGACAACGCAAATCTTTATCTACAAGCACATTGATTTGCAAAATGTTTTTTTTTTAATAATTTTTTATTTTATCTTTGTTTTTTTTTTTCTTATCGGGTATAGTTGGGAGCTGCATATTCGGGGACTTCAGTTGGAGGGCCTGATGGAGCCTCTCAACTATCACTGGGTTCGCGGCATTCCTCGATGTTAGGAGGTCCTTCTCAAGAGACAGATATCAGTGGGTATAGAGCTGGTCATCATCCCCCTTCCGGAGCTCATTATGGTGGCCAATACAGTTTGGTGTATGGTTCAGCTGCTCAACAGGTCTCTGGAGTTTTATTTTGTTCTTATCTAATTTTGGGGTATATTTAGCTACACTACACACACACACACTCTTTTACACTTAAACTTGCACACATATAAACTAATAAATGTTGGATGTGTGATCATGTATGGACAAAATTTTCCTAAACCCTACAATGCCTGTGGCTTTATGGGAAATAATTTAAGATGCATTTGGCCTATATATGTGTGTATAAAGTCTCAGCTCCATTGTGCATTGCATAATTCAGCTCGGTTAATGTTTGTTTGTCCGCCCCCCCACCCAATAAGAAACAATAATTTTATTAATAAAAAAGAAAGAGGTATTACAAGAACCAACAAACAAAGGTGGACAAGATGGATGACCCACAAAAGACATAAAAAAAAACCACAAAAACTAGACCATAAAAATTACAATTACAATCCAATAGTAGCTCTCCAGCTCGAAGTAATGTAAAAAAGAGGAATATTTTTAAAATCCTTTGTAACAGAAGCCTAAAAAGATGCCAAAAAATGCATTTAGACTTATAAAAATTTGAGCTCCTCCTCTTTATCTTCAAAAATTATTTAATTCCTCTCTATTCATAAAACCCATATAAGAGCAGAAAAACCACAATACCAAAGAGTTTTCTCTCTTTTACTGCCACCCAATCCATTAAAATCCACACAAAACATAGATGTTATCGTCCTGAGAGCAACCCAAGAAATGCCAATAAAATTTAACAATGTATTCCAAAGTGAAAGAGCCACGCGACCCACCAAGAACAAATGTCTACACTCTTACAAATCACTTTTACACTCACACACCACTGAGGTGAGACAATTGATCGGTCTTCTCCTTTGAAGCACATCATTGGTATTTACCTTACCGTGAGTAATTATTCATGCACAAACTTGCACCTTTAAAGTCACTTTACCTTCCAAATCTTCAAAGATTAAGAGCAAAGAATCACAAATCCAAATTCTTTTGTCTGAAGAATTTGGATTCAATGAAATACCATTGAGTATTGAAAGAAGTAATAGCAACTCTGAATATTCTCTATAATTTAGATTTTTACAAAACCCAAAATCCCAAGTGACCGGAACATAGGACGATAATGCTAAGGATGCATTGGTATTTCCATGATAAGTAGAAAGATGATAAGGAAAAAGACTCTGAAAAGAATGTTCCCCCCCCCTCCAAATATCCTCGTAACATTGAACTTTTGACCCATCTTCCACAATGAATTTGGCCATTTGAGAAAAATTAGGAATTCCCTGAGAAGTGAATTTCCGAGGACTCCAAAACGTACCCCTTTCAACCCCATTGCCATCCCCACCCAATAGCTTGTAGCCTATATTTCCTTCTAATTACCACATGCCATAATGAATCTTGCTCCAATCTCCATAGCCATTTCCCAACCTTCCTTTTCAACAAATTCCCCACCAATAAACCACTTTTAATCTTAGGCGTAGACACAACCACCCAACTAATCAAGTGATCTTTCTTTACTTCCCCATAACTTTTCCCTAAGAAATCTCTCATCATCGCAAAAAGTAAATAAGGATACTAGCTAACATAGACTTGGGCTAACATTAAGCTCCCCCCCCCCCCCCCCAAAAAAAAAAAAAAAAAAAAGAAAAGAAAAGAAAAGAAATAAAAGCTTTCTTCCACCCATCAAGTCTTTTATAATCTTTTTTGTTAAACTACTCTAAAGATTGAAATTTATGTTGACTATAAATCTTTTAGGAAACATAACTATTGACTGTTAATATTAATAATTGGTAATCTGACATGTAATTTATTTAGATAGGGGTTCACTTTTTTGTTAGATTTAAATTTCGAATGGAAAATTGAATCTGGCAAGTGAAGTGCAGTTTATTCTCCTCTATACTGCATGAGAATCAACATTTCCTGGAAAGAGTGGAGCAGTTGGTTTTTTAGGTGTTCCAAGCAGACTGGCCGGTCCAAATCGGTTGGTCAGCTAGGTTAATCAAATATTTTCCTCCTTTAAGCTGTATACTAGCATGGTAATTATTTTTTCTGCTCTGTTTCTATGTGAAAATATCTTATTCTCTCCTTGTATATGTATTTGGGGTATTTAAACCGTGACTCTTTCTGTTGAATGGACCCATGCATGCAAAGAAAGACAAACCTAACTCCCCCGCGGCCACCTGGGGGGGTGGCTACACTTTGATATTTATGAGTTAATTGTTTCACATCTCCGTTATCTTTCTGTTCCTGCTCCCAGTTTTCTATCTCATCTATTAGCGTTTGATAGTCTAATTAGTTTTCGACTTTTGTGGATGCAACTGTCTTGTGCTTTGCGAAAATATTAAAACCTAGAAATTTCCTTATTGTTTGCTTCTGCAGGTTCCTGCTATGAGTGCCAAAGGATCTGGGCAGTCTGCTTTGGAAGGTCGCAGTGGTTATGGCTCATCTATGCCAGACTCACATAAGTTCGCATCTGGTGACTATGTTTCATCATCAAGCCACTTATATGGCCACAAAGGTGATCAGTTATTCTCTGAAAAGATTCCTGATTATCCGTCAGTGGAAAGACATCAATATGGTGAGCGACAGAGTACTTATTTGGGGAGGGATTTGCAAAGTGAACCGACTGGTCGGTATGCTGAATCGGTTGGTGTTGCTCATAAGCATCAGGTATTGTATTCCTTTCCAGAGAATGTTAACTGTGTTTCCCTTGTCTTTTAATGTTAAATATTAATTTTTGAGCATATTTTTCCACAATAACATACTTTCTGTATGATCTCAATTCTCGCTTCTGGAGCAGCCTGACTTGTATGATCGCATAGATCAGGCTTCTCTGCTTCGACAAGAACAATTGCTGAAGGCTCAGTCACTGCAAGCTGGTTCCCTTGATGGGGTTTCCAGGTATTTTCTCGATCCATGTTCCCTTTTCACGAGTTTTACTTACAACATGGTTTAAAGTTTAAACCAAGTGCCTCAATTTTTAATTTTTATGTTCTCTTTCCCATCTAAAGACTGTTAGAAGTGATGTTTTCTAATGTGTATGGTACGAGATATACTTCTAGCCGTTAGAATATTTTTGTCGATGATACCATACTGCTTGTGCATAGCATACCTGCCTCAGCTTTGTTTGATGGCTCTGTATATCTTATTACACTGAGTAGCACCACATTTCTGGCAGACAAGCTGATTATCTTGCAGCAAGGGGGGCTACCATCCGTCATCCGACCCATGATCTTCTGTCTTATGGTGGAAGAATGGATGCTGAACATCACAGTTTATCAATGTTAAGCAGTTCATCGTATGGTGGACAACCTGCACCATCAATTTTAGGGGCGGCTCCAAAGAGAAATGCGGAAGATCTTGCGTATGTTCAGAGTTCTTCAAATCCAGGTTATGGAGTGAGCCTGCCTCCTGGTAGGGACTATGGCACGGGAAAAGGGCTTCGTGGCACATCTCTTGAGTCGGATTATCCAGGTAGCATGTCGGCACGTAGTGGTCATCCAAGGATTGATGATCGTAAAGATGATAGGGGCGCATATGCTCGGGAGCTTGAGCGAAGAGAGGAGGAACGCCGTAGGGACATTTTACGTGAACGAGAGAAAGAAAGAGAAAGGGATAAGGCAAGGGAACGAGAACGAGAACGGGAACGTGAAAGAGAGCGTGAAAGGGAACGCATTTTGGAGCGGCGAGAAAAGGAGAGGGATCGAGATCACAAACGTGGACTTGAAATAAGGCGTGATCGAACTCCACCAAGGATATCCAGGGACCGCGGTGGTTCCACATTGACAAAGGATGGGAGATCTTTGAGACGGGAATCCCCTCGTCACGAAGCTTCGCATAGGTGGATCTTTTTTTATTTTGAGTCCTACTCTGGTTCTATATGTAGCTGCTACTGTATCTTGCAGCCTTCTTAACTAACTTGGTGCTCTGTCATGCTGAAGGCGTCGTTCACCTGTAAAAGAAAAAAGAAGAGAATATATCTGCAAGGTAAAAAAGCTGAACAAGAGTTTAGTTGTTGAATGATAGTCAATACATACCCTTTGCGAGGCTTTTCCCAGTTGGATATGATGTTAAGGGCTTCTCCACCGTTTGCTCCTATTATTCACTCTTTTGAGTTGAGAACTTCAATTATATGCTTCTATGTTTTGAGAACCGGTGCCGTTTCCTCTTTGTTCTGGTCTCTTGTCAAGTTTCTTCTTTATCCTATCACTTTCTGTTTTTGTTTTTGGCTCTAAATTATTGGTTGCTTCCTCGGAATGATTCGCTGCTCATTTGTTTTGAGGACCTTAGCTTTGTCTTTTAACCCTTGTACTATTCGTGGAATTTCCTCTACTTTTTGTTAATTCCAATATACCCTTTCAATTCATCAACACTTTTTGCTGTAGAATTTCTGCTTATCTATTTGGGACGTGGGAGTTATATGCCGGGCCATAAGCTTGATCTGGAAAATATTTGGTTATGTTTTGTAATATATGATGGTTGATGGCTATTTATCAATTGTGCTGCTGTGACCATTGGTCACAGAGTTAGCGTATCTGGGAGGAGAAGTGATTCACTGATTTGAGCTCATATACACTTTGAGACACAATCCTTCTAAATTGTATACGGTCTTGCTTAATTAGCATGTATTTTCTTAATAAGATATGGTTGTCGAACATAATAGGATTTTTTTGCTTCCTGAAAGTTGACTTGTGATTAAATCTGCTGGAAACAAATTCTACTGTGCAGGTTTACTCCTCCAGTTTGGTAGATGTTGAAAGGGATTATTTATCAATAGATAAACGATATCCCAGGATTTTTATCTCTCCAGATTGCTCCAAGGTTTTCTTTCTTCTTTGCATTTGATGGTTTACCAAGTTTTGTTGGATCTATGATTTGACGCCTGTATTTCTCCTGTCTCTAGGTGGTAGTGAACTGGCAAAGGGAGAATATCAAACTATCTATCAATACTCCTGTCAGGTGCCTTGCTGTGAAAATACTTCTATTTGTATTGTTATCCTCATTATTGTGTCGTAAGTTTCCTTGGTGGTGCTACTCAGATTTGAACAATCATCTTTCGGTTTGTTAGATACCTTTCTGCCAAAAGTTATAGTGTTTCTCCATTCATTTGGAGAACAACCCTTTTATCCATTCACTTTGAAAACTCATTTTTTTTCCCAATGGGAACCAAAATAAAAAGAGGGCAAATTGGAATTTGATAGATCTTATTTAATTTTTTTGTTTCTGATTGTGGTTGTGTATTTGTGTTTTTCTGTGTGGTTGACTTCTTGAACTTTTGGCAAAAAATGAAATAAATCAAAGAATTAAAGTTTGGTGCCATGTATAATGGAACAGTTTTGAACATGATTTTCTTGAAGAAGCAACTGCTACTGAGCAGAAAGAGTTGCTCCCTGTACCCTTGGCTGATGAACCTGCGAAATCAGAACATGGAGTAACTATCTGGCATGCAAAGGTAGATATATCCAAAGTTTAAAATTGAAGCACCTGTTGTTATTGTTATTACTGTTATTTGTTACTCTCATTATTACTACCTTGTCCCTGAATTGTGAAAGCTGCTTAGGGATTAACCTAATTTCGTACATTAAAAACAAAAGCGGTTATTTTTTTCTTTAATGGCATGCAAGGTAGATGTATCTAAAGTTTGAAATTGAATTCCCTGTTGTTATTGTTATAACTGTTATTTGTTACTCTCATTATTACTACTTTGTCCCTGAATTGTGAAAGCTGCTTAGGGATTAACCTAATTTTGCACATTGAAAACAAAAGCGTTTGTTTTTTGTATAAATTTCGGCAATGCTTCAGAAGCAACCGCTACTGAACAAAAATTGGTTATGATGTTCATGTTGTATTTTCTGTAATATTTCTTTGTATGTTATGTTTATATAATTTCTCCTATGAATCTCTCTCATTGGTTCAGATGATTTTGATGAGTGGACTTAGCCAAAATGCTCTGGAGGAGCTGTCATCTGAAAGAAACTATGAGGAACGCATCCCCCATTTTTGCAACATGCTTAGGTTTGCTGTTCTTAAAAAAGATAATTCTTTCGCGGCAATTGGAGGTCCATGGAGTTCTGTTGATGGTGGGGATCCATCTGTTGATGACTCCTGTTTGGTTCAAACAGTTCTTCGGTATGTATCCTAGGTTATTACCTGTGACAACATGGAGCAATTATGCATTTCTTTACTGATGTCATATTCACTGTTTAGATATGCAAATGACGTAACTCATCTTGATTTGAAGAACTGCCAGCACTGGAACCGTTTCCTTGAGGTAGCGTCCCACCCTCCTCCCTCTCTCCCTCTCTCCCATTATTGCTTGGACATATGGGTTTGTCATCTGACGTCACAGTTAGTAACCTTTTTTGTCATGCCACTTAAGTATGGATTGGTTTTTTTCACATATTTACTGAATATCAGCTCAATTCTGCTTCTTGGAAAACTGATTGACTCATTTATAATGGTGCATTTTTGTTGATTTCATAGTTGACTGTGTTATGTCTTCTTTTTTGATTCTAAATACATTGTATTAATAGTTGATCATTGATTCTTATGAAACAAGTGTGATGAATGTGGATGATTGGTTGATAAATATCTTACTAGAGATGAAAATGAACTAATTGAATTGAAATATTCTTTGGCCTAACTATTGATTAGTGATTTAGCTTGTATGAGTTGCTGTTGATTGGATATGACAAGGGAACCATATCACTATGTGAATGATGCATATTTATCTAGTATTGAAAATTTGTTGATAAGTGTTTTTGCTATGGAGTCCTTCCAATTAAGTCCTTTTATCTGGAATTGTCTTTGGTTTTAAGAATTTGGAAGTCATCCAATTCAAAATTTTGGAAGTCATCCAATTCAAAATTTTGGAAGTTTTATTCTAGTATGAGCTAAAGGTTGTCCTTGTCTTTGATCTACCGTTGGGCCTTCCTATTAACATATTGCCTAGGATGATTACATTCCTATTTTTACTTAAAGTGAATGATTGGTTGGGGAATACATTAATTTTCAAATTTGAAATTTGAAATTGAGATTCACAAAGTCATTAATTACGATCAACATATATAAGTCATGCTAGCCTACCTATAGATTTAACAAAGAAAACAAGCTCTCTCTCTTAGTTGGTGTTCATGCAACAAGCAAATAACAAGTGTAAAGTAACAAATGAAAAATAAAGTGACTTTATGCCATGTTTGTAAATAATGGTAAGTGTCATAGACTAGGAGACATTCTATTTTATTTGTTGCATCTTTCTTCCTTCTATCATAGTTTGTTAGCATGTTAACATTTGATTTCCCTAATTATCCCTGTCAAAAAACCGTTGTGGCTTGTGGTTTGTCTTTTGATGCACGTGTTAGGACTTAGGATAGGTGGGGTCAATTTAATTTTAGATTGAACTTGGATTGATCATCTTTTATTGTGTCTCATTAATTATGATCAACATATATAAGTCATGCTAGCCCAATATGCTTGAGAACCTATAGATTTAGCAAAGAAAACAAGCTCTCTCTCTTAGTTGGTGTTCATGCAACAAGCAAATAACAAGTGTAAAGTAACAAATGAAAAATAAAGTGACTTCATGCCATGTTTGTAAATAATGGTAAGTGCCATAGACTAGGAGACATTTTATTTTATTTGTTCCATCTTTCTTCTTCTATCATAATTTGTTAGCGTGTTAATGTTTGATTTCCCTGAATATCCAGGTCAAAAACCGTTGTGGTTTGTGGTTTGTCTTTTGATGCACTTGTTAGGATAGGTGGTGTCAATTTACTTTTAGATTGAACCTGGATTGATTATCTTTTATTGTGTCTCATTGTGACGGTGCAAGTTAGTATGATTGATTTTCACTGAGGTCATATCTCTCATAAAGTTAGGAAGTCATTAAAGAGTATCATAATGCTTAGAAAAATTCTTGAGCATTACTGACGCCAATCTTTGTGCAAGTGTCATCAGCACACTCTAGTCATAACCTAAACATTCTCGAGCTGATCGCATCATCTGAGTTTAGTAGATTAACATTCTTGGCAACGTTCAAAAATATGTTGCTTGCCTTGCAAAGAAAAACATCACGAATTTTATTACAGCAGATTAGCTCTGTTGACATAGTTCGAAAGTATGTTGCTTGCCCTTGTAAAGAAAAAAAAAAACCCTTAATTTTATGAGTTTAGTTTCTCTGTGGAAGATCAGACACTTCATTTTTCCAATATTTTTTGGCGGGAGGGTTTCAATGATGTGTTTGGGAGTGCTAACCACCTTTATCTGTATGTTGGTCCTATTGTTTTAATGAATTTTTTTTCAGTTGTCCTTTATTGTATGCTATGTCCAGCCTTGGGATCTGCACTCAATCTTGGCAGTTTTAATCAAGGGTTGTAATTTTTGACACAATACGAATCGAAATTGACATGAAATTAGCGGGTTAGACTTGATCATTTTTCGATACGGACTCGTATATGACACTATCTGTTAAAACAAATAATAAATGGGTTGAGTTATTATCAAATACAAACAACATGAAATTGACACGATTAACACGTTTAAGTAGTATTATTAGAATAAAATGTCAAATTTTTATTATATTTTATCAAATAGTGACATAATTCTTGTACAAAAAAGATATTTTTACTCATTTTTATTATTATATTTATTAAGTTAATTTTTAGTTTATAGAAAAAGTATGAGCATAGGGTCGATTAAGTGATCATGAAATTTTTGACATAAAAATGAGCGTTAAATTTTTTATTCACGGGTTATATGGGTCAACTCGAACACTACACGAAAATAAATTGGTTGGCACGACATGACATGATTATTTAAATCGGTTGGGTTACGGTTGGTTAGTGCTCGACCCCGACCCGACCCGATTGCCACACGTAGTTTTAGTGCATTCACAAACAAATACACAATAATGTAGCATTGGGTAATACTGGCCTTCAGGTTCAGGATTGACTGTTGGAGTTTTTGTTAGTTGTGTGAATTCGTCTGTTTCTTTTATCTTTCCATCCTACAGCTAATTGTCCATGACCTTTGTAGATACATTATGATCGAGTTGGCAAGGATGGGCTTTTCAGCCATAGAGAGGTCACTGTCCTGTACGTTCCAAATTTGTCAGATTGCCTTCCTTCATTGGATACATGGCGAGACCAATGGCTTGCCCACAAGAAGGCTATTGCTGAGAGAGAGCACCAGCATTCTCTGAAAAAAGAGGTCTGCTGTTTTACTTATAAACTGAAATATCATTCTTGCCAGTTTTTCCTTATGCACTGTGTGACTGCCAGGAAGATGTTTAATGCATATAAGCAGATATTTTTAGGGGAAATATTAATTCCCTTGTTTTATGTGTCATGATTATTCAGTGGGATTTTCCAGGTGAGAGTTTTCTGTTTTCAATGTGCATATATGGCTGTTATGTTGGCTTCACTCACTAGTATCTTCCATTGACCTAGTTGTGTTGGACATTTCTCTTCTTGATTTTGCTGTAAATACGGTAACAAGGCAATGGACAGAATTTGCAGTTTAATATTGCACCATGTCAGAATAAAAAAGATTTGTGGAAACGTAGTAAATTTTATTTGCAACTAATGTCATTTAACATAAAAGGACAAGTGCACGTTCGTTGGTGGCATAGATTAAGGAGGCAGTCTTTACTTTTCTTTATGTAGCTTACCTATAGATTTACTGCAGTTCTCTAACAGTATTGACATACATATCCTTTTAGATTTTCTCTAGTCTTACTTGCTGCCTTATGTTGCTGATTATTAACTTTTTATCTTTTTTAAATTTTACTGTGGCTATTAAAAAAACCAGTATAAATGCATGAGACACACATTGGGAGGAAGAAGCATTAAGCATCAAACTAGTTTCCTGAAAAATGTTGGGGGGCCAGTGAGATAAAGACATGCACTTGATCTGATATAAAAAAACTTAAGACATGAAATAAGTGACATTTCATTGTCGTAATACATCCCGAGGAGAAAAAAGAAAAACACAAAATCTCTTGAATTTTAATTCTGTAATTCAGTTTTCAAAATTTGTAACTTATTCCTCCCTGTAGTGCAAAAGGGGCAATACTAAATACAAAAGCAAATTAGAGTTACTTTTTGTGGCCATACTACAAAAGCTGGATTGTCATGCAAGTACAACCAGGAGATTGTAAGGGGGTTATTCTTTTTTCTGCGAGAGGGAAGAAAAGTCTTGTACCATTAAAACAATCAAATGGCTTGTAACCTAAAGGCTTAGGAGGTTTAGTTTAATCTCTTTTAATTGGATAAATCATCTGATAAAAAAGGAAGTTTCGTTGATACAATAGAGCGGAGCTGACAGGCCCATGTATTTTTTTATTCTGTTCAAGCAGGAGATGCATGTACATATTCTGCTATGTATTATTCATACCCTCTGTCATTCGATTACAAATATATAGTACACATTCTGCTAGGTTGGGTTTATTCTTAGATATGTATCTCATGCTATCAGATGTTAGTAACAACACTGTAGCCCATGTTAGTGGTTGTGGTTTAATCAAAGTTCAGTGGATAGCCTCCTACCCCACATTATCTCCTGCACAATAGTCTTGGGCTGAAAGCAATTTGTTTATGTTCATTAGTTGTTAGGTGCTAGGTTCAATGTATCGGCCGAGTCGTATCCGACTCGGCCACTACCGATATGAGACCGATACACGTTATGACTTGGGAGTATTGGTACAAATCGGGGCCACTTGTTTGTATCGGACAATTTAACATAATTGAACTGAAATTATGAAAATAGTTTAGAAAATCTCACGACAAAGAAAAAGCCCAAAAAAAAGGGCAAAGAGAGAAGTAGAGAAGACCCACAACTGTAAAAGAAGACCTAAAATCACAAAAATTAATATGCAAATCGTGCGTTTGTTCAACCCTAAATCACACCCCTTAATGCCATTAGATAAACAAGAGAAGAAATTGAGAGAAGTTGTGAGGCAGACCTGTAAATAATGGCAAAATCACCATGAATACAAACGAGACTCATTGTCTCGTAGATTTGCTCCTCACTCTCTCTTTCTCTCTCAACGAACGAAGACTGGCAAAGACTCATTCACTCGTGTGCCTTTAATGTCTCTCAACTTCTATTTTCTTTTAATTTCTGTTTTTTTTTTATTTTAGGTAATGTTTTTTTTCTAATTTCTTAAATGTTTTAAATAATTTTTTTTTATTGGTAAGTTTTTTTGAATATTTTTGGGTAGGGAGTCTATCCTTTTGGTTCTAACTTATTATGACAAATACTTATTGTAATATACTATATTATATACCTCTATTTATTTTTTGAATATTTTTGGGTAGGCAATTTGACCTTTTGGTTCTAACTTATTATGACAAATACTTATTGTAATATACTGTAATATATACCTCTATTTACTTGAATATATTAAATTAATATTCTATAAGTCACAGACAAATATTAATTTTTCCTTAGTTTGATTTTAAAATTAAATAGTAATATGTTCAAAAAAATGGTGGTAACCTATATTTAATTGGATTTTGTACTATTTGAATCTAATAGTATTTTAAATGCATACATTGAACATTGATAATAACAAATATTTCTGATAGTGCCCTTGTATTTTATTTTCATTATGTTTAAAATGTTTGATTATGTATTTAGGACATATGATGCATGATTTTTGTTGTATACATTTTTTAGAATTTTTCAAGATTTTTTTAAAGAATTTTTTAGATCTTTTATCTAGCATTTTTTAAATATTGACCGATACCATGCTGCGACGTCGCGATCGATGTCTATTATTGCTTTTGGATTTGATAGTCGATACCTTAACTTTGAACCATGGTTAGGTGAGGGTATTGTTGCCTTACGAAATTATATTCCAGGATTTTACTCACTGAAAATTCTCCCTTTCAAATTTGTATGCTCTCATCGCATTTATGTGACTTTTCATTGTTAAGAGAGTTTGTATTCCACATAAAATAATTAGGACCACTAAGGTTGTTTTATATATTTCTGGGGCCACTCCACTTATTTTCAGTTGATTTTGAGTTGGATGCTCTAACGTGGTATCTGAGTTGGATGCTCTAACGTGGTATCAAAGTTGGGCCTTGGGTGGTCAATGGACAAGTTTCTTTATCCATTTGAATTTGTTGGTATGGTTGTTTGTTTATTTGTTTGTTTGTTGACTTCATGTGCAAGCTCGGTTCCATGTGAAAGAGGGTTTTAAGAGAGTTTGTATTCCTCATCAATAATAAGGACTGCTAAAGTTGGTTTATATATTTGAGGAGTTACTCCACTCATTGTCAATTGGTTTTGGATTAGATGCTCTTAACACTCATTACCTAGACATTTTGATGTTGTTTGGTGGAGTTGAGCAAAGAGGATTTGATGCGGGTGACCCGAATTTTTGTATTATATTTGAAAGTGGTCAATCCATTAAATTAGAAAATTTTGGAAGATTTATTATATTTCCTAATTTAGTGAGGAAATTATTTTATTTTTTTTCTAATTCCTAGGATTTTATTTTATTTGGTTTCTTAGTTTGTTTAGGGTTTCTACTATTATATAAATGCATGTAAACCTTAAGGTAAAACAACTTTTGATGAATTAACAGTATTGATAGAATTGTCTCTTCATTTCTCAATTATTTTGGTATTCTTTGTGAATCAACAGATCAATTGAAGCTTTTAGAACTAGTATTCTTTGTGATTCAACAACTCTAGAGTAGAATTGTAAATCGATATATGTGCACAAATCAACGGTATAGTTTCATTATCCCATTCTTGTTCATCATATCATTTTTCTACCCGCTTTCCAACATCACTAGACTTGTTGATTCTGCAGAATATCAGTTTTAGAGACTTAAATTGATCTGTTGATTTCTAAGAACACCAGAATAATTGGGAAAAAAATAGACAACTCTATCAATACTGTTAATTAACCAAAAAAGTTGTTTTGCTCGAAGGTTTACATGCATTTATATAATAGTAGAAACCCTAAACAAACTAGGAAACTAAAATCTTGAATAATTAGGAAATCAAATAAAATAAAATTTTAATGGAATTAGAAATAAAATAATTTCCTAATTAAATTAGGAAATAAAATAAATCTTTTAAAATTTCCTAATTAAACGGCATTAACCACGTTCAAATAAAATACCAAAATTTGGATCACCCATAGTGCATCATTCTCCCCAAGTTGGAAAGAATTCACCATCAAATTCAGGTTCAGTATTTGACTCATCACTTGAACTTTGGTTTCGACCAATTCATTGATTATGAATTTGATACCTTAATTTTTGTTTGAATTTAACTTTTCGACCAATCCAAAATTTTTCCTTTGTAAATATTCCATTAGTGTTGCAGCAAGACGCAATGATTGTTCCCCAATAAATCAAAATAGAAGGATTTTTATTTTCACAAAATCTTCAGCCTCCTCGTTCGAAGGGCTCCCTTTATTTTTTTTCCTTTTATGACCTCCAACTCAAAAAATAAAGTATTGATTTCACAAAAATCAAGGAACACTTGTTGCCTTGCTGAAAGTTCTACAAGTTGCTCACCCATTTGTTATTGAGCAGCCATAGACAATGGACTGCTTGTGTGTGCAACTTAGGACCAAACTCTTTATCAGAAGGCTGGTTAAATTCTATGTTGTTTTCTACTCTCTCCAGGCCCCTCAAATTTGCTGTTGTGATTAGGAAAACATCCATCGAATATTTATCATATATTGAAAAATCATAATCATTCTTAACAATGACCGGAGAATCATCAGTAGAATATTCATCAAATATTAGGGATAAATTTTAATCAACTTCTGATTGAATATAAGATGATTCACTATTAAAAAATAAATTTTCAAATTTCATGTCATGAAAATATTAATAGGAACGTAACTGTGCTCTGATACCGGCTAAAGTAGGGAAGTGGGTAGAAAAATGGTATGATGAACAAGAATGGAATAATGAAATTATATCGTTGATTTGTGCAGAAGTACTGGTTTAGAATACTATTCTAGAGCAGTTAATTCACAAAAATATTAGTTCTAAAGACTTCAATTGATCTGTTGATTCACAAAGAATTCCAGAATAATTGGAAAAAGAAGAAGACAACTCTAAGACTTACATGCATTTATATAATAGTAGAAACCCTAAACATACTAAGAATCTAAAATCCTAAATAATTAGGAAACCAAATAAAATAAAATCCTAATGGAATTAGAAAATAAAACAAACTAGGAAGCTAAAATCCTAAATAATTAGGAAACCAAAAAAAATAAAATCCTAATGAAATTATAAAATAAAATAAAATAATTTCCCAACTAAATTAGGAAATAAAATAAATCTTCCAAAATTTCCTAATTGAACTGCATTGACTATGTTCAAATAAAATACCAAAATTTGGGTCACCTATACTGCATTATTTAGAGTAGGATTCTAAAATGTATTTGTCCACAAATCAATGGTATAGTTTTATTATCCCATTCTTGTTCCTCGTACATTTTTTTCTACCTGCTTCCTGGATTTGATTCAAGGGGTTTCATGGGTTTAGTCATCAGTGTGCTGTCCACCTTCGCTTAAAGCAGTTTAAAGACGAGGCTTTAGACTGATTATGCCTCCCAGTGGAAACCTTACTGTCTGGCACTGCTGGTGGGTCACAGACCTTCTGGATTTGAAATCCAGTAGTCACTGTTTTTCTGAATCACGGACAGATCCAACTGAGGGTCTAATAGCTGTTAGTTGTTTTGAGGATCTTCTCGCAGTCGTTATGGAGGCCAAATAGCTAATACCTAAGAATGTTAGTTGAACAAGAGAGAGGGAGAGGCACTACTTTGTCTTTTGCAGTCACAAGGCTTGCGTGGATCTCATGAGCATACTTCAAGGAAGTGAAACCGAGACTATGGAATGACCTTTTTTTGCCCAATTCACCTGTAATTGAGTCTGACTTGCTTTTCTCCCCCTAAAGTTTTATTAATTTGAAATTTTCTGTGCAGAGCTAGATTAATCCAAATTCATGACAGGTTGCTTTTGCGCATGCATTTTTATACCCCCTTTGTCCCCCTCTTGCCCTCTCAATGCCGGCTACCAAACTCGCTTTAGTATTTATTTTAGCTAATTTTTTTTCTTTTGTGATACTCAGAAATCTAGAGAGAAGAAGGAAGTTCTTAAAGGTAAGTAACACATTTGATCTTATTTATTGTTGTTGTCTTCCCTCTGATAATTTGAATCTTATTAGCTTCTCTCTGTCTCTTTTCTTAACCCCCCCCCCCCAAAAAAAAAAAAAAAAAAAAAAAAACCCAACCCACAATTTAGACAAGAAACTTGAGCCTTCGAAAGACGATCAACGAGTTGACAAAACAGAGAAAAAGGAGACTGTATCCTCTGGTCTGGAAGTAGATGCTAACAAAAAGGGGGAAGATGGCAGCAAACTACAAGGGAATGCAGACAAAGAGACGGGTGAGAATGATAAAAAAGTTGAGAAGAAAGATGAGACTGAAACAGCTGAAGAAGGCAACAGTGTTGAGAAAAAGGAACAGGGAGAAGGTACGGTTGTTCAGTCACCTGGTAATGTGAAGTCTGGAAAGAAGAAAATTATAAAGAAGATTGTCAAACAGAGGGCTATTGAAAAGAAAGACAATATGGAAAATATGACCGAACCAAATGAAAAACCAGATACGAAAGACGATGGAGAAATTAATGCCAACATAGAAGTTACTGGTCAACACAATGAGTCACCTGCTGATACTGCTGCTATTAAAACCTTTATGAGAAAGAAAGTTTTAAAAAAGGTTCCCGTGGGGAAAAATTCTCAGAAAGTAGATGGTGTGCAGCCCGAAGTCAAAACTGTGAAGGATTCTGAGTGTTCTGAAGATAAACCACTGGGCGAATCAGATTTTGTTAGTGCTGCTATAAAACAAGATGCTAGTATGAAAACAACAGTGAAGAGAAAAATAATTAAAAAAGTGCCTAAAAGAAAGGTAGCTGCTGTGGAATCCCATGATGGGGTTCCAGATAGCAACAAAGATGGTGAGAAGGATGAAAAAAAGATGGTTGAGGCAGGAAATGAAACAAAAATGATTGGGGGGCAAACTGCCGATGCTGACTATCTGGTGAGTGAGGTCAAGTCAGTAAAAAAGACAATCTCTAAAGCACAGTCAAAAACAGCAACTTCTGAGAAGCAAGATAATGTGGGTAGCTCGAATAAACATGTAAACAAGTCTAACAAGGAAGAGAAAAGGGTTGATGAGAAAAGTGGTTCTGTTTCCAAAATGGATCCTGAGGCTGAGAAACAAAAAGTGTCTCGCAATAGTGGTCCCAATGGCAAGAGGGAAAAATCAAAAGAAAGGGAAAAGTCCAAAGAGGAGAAAGACAAAGAAGACAAGGATGTAAAAGATGAGTCCAAGAGCAAATTGAACAGAGAAGTGAAAGAAAAGAAAAAACCAGAAGAACCTCCTCGGCACCCTGGCTTGTTTATCCAAACAAAAGGGAGCAAGGATTCTAAGGTAAGTTTAAGCTAAATTGATAAACATAGCAAATTATAACATTATTAATATCAAATATTCATTCTGCCCTTGTCTAATAACCTTGCATGTCCCATCCCATGTATCTAACTGTATAATATCTGGGCTGCAGCTGCGTTCATTGTCACTTTCACTGGATTCACTTTTGGACTATACTGACAAGGATATCGAAGAATCAACATTTGAGGTGTGTTTGCCCTATATTTAATCCTCTATGCTGTGACTGTGTTGTGGTAATCTTTATGGTGTTTTTCTGTTAAGGATGATCATAATCTCTTATTCTCCCGTGATTCTTAAATTTAAGGTGCATCATGATGCATAATTGAAATTTCAGCCCATTCTATCATTTTAACCATTTGTATATTCCTCCTTCACTGTCTCCTTGGCAGCTTTCCTTATTTGCAGAATCCCTATATGAAATGCTTCAGTATCAGATGGGTTGCCGTCTTTTGACATTTCTTCAGGTTGGCTTGAATAATTGATATTCTAATTGTTTGTGTTGTTTACATAGTTGGGGTTTTTTTATTAATATGCTTGCTTTCCTTTTCCTTGTGTCTTTTCCCATTTATAGAAATTGCGCATTAAGTTTGTGATGGAAAGAAACCAACGGAAAAGACAAAGGGTTGACATTTCTGACAAGGAAGGTGAAAAGAAATCATCAAGAAAGCGCATGAAAACTGATGAGACCGTTGTGGAAATCACATCTACTAAAACGGAAACACCAAATGAAGATGATGGAAGAACAATCGTCAAGGAGAATAATACTGCAGCCGATGAGGTGAAGAAGGAAAAGCCTGAAAATGAAACAGATGAGGATGAAGATCCAGAGGAAGATCCTGAGGAAGATGAAGAAATGCCAGATGCAAGCCCTCAGCGTGACTCAACCAACGAGGCAAGATTCCTTTCTTCCATTCTCTCTCTCTTGTCGCTTCTCATTCTTCAAATGTAAGCTGTTTCTTTCTATCTCTCTTTTCTCAGGCGCATACACACACCCCACACTCTCTCTCATGGGTAATCACGTAGCTTTTATATCTTTATTTTAATTTTCCTTTCTGATGCTTCGTATCGAACTGCGTTCTCCGAACTTCTGCAGTATATTGTGTTGATTAGTAGCCGACTTTCTCTTGACCTTTTCATTAAATTTGGGAGAACGAAGTAGTTATATGTTTTAACTATGTTATAGTACAATGGTGGTGCATATGCACATATATAACACTGCCTGGCATATAATTTGCATATTTTGAAGTGGTATCTTTTGAAATCGGACAAGTACTTGGGAAATGATTTCTGGTTGAATTATGCTGTGAGAATTTAGATTTCACAAATACAACTGTGTTTAATTGCCAAGGACGAGATTTTTCACCTTAACTCACCTGTCTGCTCTTAAAACATACAAGAGGACGGTGAAGACGATGCAGTAGATGAGATTTTTTTTGGGGTAAATTCATTTTACCTTCGTGTGGTTTAGCCCTATAGCACTTCACCCCTTATGGTTCAAATGTAACCACATAACCCTTATGTGGTTTGGACTAAAATGCACTGTCAACTCTGTTGAAAAGGTGAATAAAATGACATTAATACACATAATATACCCTGTCTTAATACTCGTCTCTCTCTACTAGGTATATTACTATGTTTGACCTAGGTCCTGAGCAGAATTAATCTCAAAATTTTAGCATGCAAGTATGAAATTGAATATCTTAGTATCTTTCAACTCGTTAGATTTGAAGTCCACCACAATTCTTTCTTCAGCTTCATGCGTGAAGCACCCATATTGTATCATCTTTGCTGGCAGCCATTCACATGAGCTTACATTAATCTGGATTCTGGAACCTTTTCCCAAGGCCCACTGACATAACATCTTGGTGGTGGGATGGGGCTAGCTAACGGAGGTTATTCACTCAAAAAACATGAATCTGAAAAGGATGAAAAAGGAAAATCCAATATGGGTGGATCCCAATTTATAGTGCAACCATTGAAGGAGGGGGTAATGCAGGTGAATTCAATTTTGGGATGCACTTGTGAATAATTGGCATGACTCTCTTGTAGAGGAGGGAGGAGGGAAGAGGAGAAAGAGGAGTGCGTTTGAATGTGAATGTGTATGCTATTTGGAGGTGTTGGAGGAGGAAGAGGTGTGAAGTGGGGTTGTGGCAGAAGAGTTGGCAGTTGAGGTGGGTGGTTTGTGAAGAAGGAAGGAAGAGAGGTGAAGCAGCAGCTGGGAGGGGTATTTTTGTCTTTTAAATTATAGGGCATGCTTCTCTAGTTAATAAATTTTACTTTTGACTCAATTTTTTTTCTCATACCCACTCCCATTTTAGGCGCATGTAGCACATTTGTCGTCAATTTGGACACAAATTATCAAGGTTGTAGATTAGTTCAAAACTATATGGGGCCCATGTGTGTGTGTGTTTTTTTTTTAATTACATTTGGGGTAAAGTGCTGTAGGACCAAACCACAAGGGGGTAAAATGGGTGTGGCACATGGGAAAAGTGATTATTTTTGAATAAAAACAATTTGGGGGTAGATAAAGAAGTCATAAAACAATTTTAAAACAAATTCTGGTAGTAGGAAGTGGAAAGCATCAAAATAGTTGTGAATAAGCCTAGTAAGCTACTTGGAGGATGAGAGAATAATATAAATATGTAGTATTCCTCGGCTTAATTACCTGCTTATGGAAATGTATATGTTATTTTTGGTAATTCAATTATATTTTTCATCCAGGTAAAGGCTGAAGGGGGCACGACTGATGCAGATGATGAGTCTGAAATGCCGCCTGGGAAGAAGATGTTAGAACAACAGGGAATGGCTGAGGAAACTTTAGCGACAAAGATCAAGTTGGATGCTGATAGCAAATCAAAGGGGGCAAAGGAGGACACAGAGAAGAAAGAAACTGCATCTGCTGTTGACAAGGAACTGTTGCAGGCTTGTTGCTGAACTTTTTTTGGCCATCTGCTTTTGGCATTTTTTCACTAGTTCATTCCACTCACCATTTTTTTGTTACCGGCTTTCTTCTTGGAAACAGGCTTTCAGGTTTTTTGACCGAAATCGAGTGGGCTACATCAGGGTAATATGAAATGACTATTTTTTTATTCCTCTGTCCTGTCATGTTGAGAATTGTGAGGATATAACCATGTTTATACATCTTTCGCAGGTTGAAGATATGAGGTTGATCATCCATAACTTGGGGAAGTTCCTATCTCACAGGGATGTCAGGGTAATAATCTGTTTCGTTTTAAAGAAATTCTGTAGATTGTGGTTGGCTATATTATGTTAAACAGAAGGAAAAACTTGGAGTCGTGTGTACATGTGTGTGTTTTATTTTGTGGGTCGTTGTTAATTTCTTATTTTCTTTCGTCAGGAACTAGTGCAAAGTGCACTGCTAGAGAGTAACACTGGCAGGGATGACCGAATTCTTTACAATAAGCTGGTGAGGATGTCTGACATTTTAGATGGACTAAAGTGAGGGTGGTGGTGTTGCTTTTCATTTGAAGGGATTTCTTATGGTATTCTCTTCTATGGGACTTGGGAAGTTGTATAGCGAGTCAGGGGTTCAGATCATGCTATTAAATTTAAACTGTCGGCTTTTTTGAATTTGTTACTGGTCAAAATGTTTCGATGGGGGATTAAACCTTGTTATTTGTGAATGATTATTTGGCCTGCCTTTTGTGTCAGATACTTTGATCGTAAAACTAAGTAATGTGTCAATCCCTGTGCCACTGCCTCTGCCACTGCCACTGCCACTGCCACATGTAGAAAATCAGAACCCTGGAAACCTTTTAGCTATCTGTTTGGAAGCCTGTTGTTTTATATTTCCAGTTTTGTTGCTAATTTGGAGTGGATAGTCATAGTGGTGTCTGTCTAGGCTGTTAAGTGCATGCAACTCGATAAATCACAATAATTTTTTTTTGAACTAATGATGATATAGATGTTGAGTAACTCCAATTCTTGACCTTAGTTGATATCGACTTGTTAATTGCTTCCAAGTTTAATTTTTTTTTCTTAGTTAATGTGTTGAGCACTTGACTATATATATATATATATATTACTAATAAAAGTACACTAACAAGAAAAATTTGTAATTTTAAAATTTACCTTCAACTATTGTTACAATATCATTTAAATTTAAATTAATTAATTTTTAATCATCTGTTCACTTCTGTTATTCCTTTCATCTTTCATTTAATTCTGAATTAGTTTTCAATCATTCACTAATTTTTAATCTTTTCCTTATTAGCAAGTTTTTCCTATATTCGTTGCACAGCTAAGGATAAACTGTCTCCAAAGCATATAAATTTGCATCCTCAAACCTCCCTCCCCTCTCTCTAACACATACACAAGGTATACACTGTTTTTGTGATAAGAAGTGAGAAAATTAGGATATTCTAGCAAATGAATTTTTTTGTTCTACCAAAGATATTAAGTCTCATTCTTCTATATATGCTATTTACATCATTTGACATTATGCAAAAAATTGAATTTAAAGTATACTTATCATGATTTTATTTATCCATTAAGTATCACGTAAGGACAAAACAAGAAGCATAATGTAGCAATGACTTTTTATTATTATTATTTTTCCATTATGCAACATGGTATTAATGATATAAATATTCATTCTAATACCAGGTTATAATTAACTTGATTATATATTTGTTTATAGATTTAATAATAATTTTTACTACCTAAATTTATTTATGTGCAACATATGTAGTGCACTGCTAATTAAAATAAGTATATCAGCAAAAATATTTAAGGTGGAAGTGCAAATAATCTCATTAATCCACACTTATCGCTCTCCTCTCTTTTCTCTACTTTTTTTTTTTTATTTTTCTATTTACTTTAATTGTAAATTACGTGATTAAATTTGTTATTTAAAATAAAAAATATTGCATGATCAATGCTCAATTAATGATATTATATTTTATCTTCTAATATAGAGTTATTGCTAGTATTCTATATTCCATTATGTAGATAATTATTTACCACTGCGCCTCTTAACGGATCGAATATGGATAGGATTTTGATTGATTCAAATATGATTTTAAAAGTTCGATCCAAATCCAATCCAATTATTTAACGAATTTTATTTTTACGGTTCATATTCAATCCGATCCAATATGAATAACTTAATTTAACTTAAATTTAAAAATTTATATCTAAATTTCAACCAAATTTATTTAAATAATTATTTAATTTTTTAAATATTTATATCAAAATATATACATATTTTAGATCAGATCATAATCGAATTAGATATAAGTATAATTAAATCTGATTCGTGAAATGTATAATAGCGAATTCAAATTTGGGTTCAAATTATTGATAAAAATATCGACCCATATATGGCTAATCGATTTCGGATCAAATTCTAATCTGGCTTCTAAATAACTATATATATATATATATATATATATATAGTTATTGTTCGTGCCTGAAAACACAGAGTAATACAAATAAAAAAAATTTATCAATTATAAATATATTTGTATTCACACCCAAAATCAAATTACAAACAGAGAAGAGAAAGAAAGGAATTTAAGCACTAGTTATAGTGAAGATGAGTGATGGGGGTGACAGTGGTGCTGGTGGGAGACGGTGATGATTGTAGTGGGTGGCAGTGACGACCGTGGTGATGGTGGCAGCTGTGGGTCACAACAATGATGGTGGTGTTGAGTTTTTGGTGAGGATGGTGATAGTGGTAGCCATGGGTGATGACGATGGTGGTGGTGGGGGCGAGGATGCTAATGGGTTGTGTTAGTGGGTGTTGACGATGGTGGTGATAGTGTGAGTTGTGGTGGGCAACGACGGGTGCTTGTGAGCAACAGTGGTAGTAGGGGTGGCGAATGACAATAGTGGTGGTAGGTGTGGTGGTGGTGGGGGTGGGCGACAATAGGTGGCGATAGTGGTGGGAAATGATGGGTGGTGGGGGTAGGTGTGATAGGGTGGGTGACAGTAGGTGGTGGTGACGGTGGACGATGATAGGTGGTGGTGGGTTGTGATAGTGGGTAGTGGTGGAATGATAGTGATAGTGGTAATAAATATAAGAATGAGATGATGATGGTAGTAGTAGTGGTAATAAATATAAGAATGAGATGATGATAGTAGTGAGTGGTAGTTGTGGCAACGGTGGTAACAATTAATGGTGGATGATGAGGGTGGTGGTGGGGCAGTGGGGCAGTGGTGGAGTGGCGGCATCGGTGGTGGGGTGATTTTGTAGAGAAGTGATTTTAAAGAAGTTTACTTAGTTATTTAAGTGGAAAAACTACTTTTGACTTATTTTGCAGTAATTAAAATAAGTTGTTCCAAACATTACATTTTAAAAAAAAAAGTTCTTATGAGAAGTTATAAATTCTAGAAATGTTTTGAAAAGTCACTCAAAACTCACCTTTAGGGGACTTATTTTCTTTATTAAATTTAGAGAGTTAATATTAGCTGTTGGATAAACTTTAAAGTAAAATTTAAAATGAACTCAATCTGTAACACCTCAAAAATCGGGGGTCCTTAATTTAACAAATTCAAGCAGAGTCTTCTACTTGTGCAATTAA